ATATATATATATATATATATATATATATATATATATATATATATATCCAAAAGAAATTAAATTACAACCTTGTAAATATGTCTGCACCCCCATGTTTATTGCAGCATTATTCACAATAGCTAATCTAGAAGAGCAACCTAGGTATCCAAGAATCAAGGTGCACATATTCAGCAGAACATTATTCAACATGAAAAAAGATAAGATACTGTCATTTGCCACAACATGATGTACTTAGAGGACAGTATGCTAAGGAAGGGCTTGACTGTTGTCCACTAAATCCAGGAAGAAAAGTATTTCATGATCTTATTTATATGTGGAATACTTTTTTATTAGAGCATTGTATTTATACATAATATTTGGGTTACTTTTGACATAATTATACATACAAGTAATTTGAATTCAATCCCCATTTCCCCCTCCCCTTTCTTCTCCTCTTCCCTCCCATTTTTGTCTCCTCTATTCTAATGATCTTCTATGTGAAATACTTTTTAAAGAAGAAATATATAGAAATAGAATGTAAAATAGTGGTTACCAAGTATGGAACAGTAAACAGAAAATGAGAAAATATAGGTAAAAAAAATTTAAAGAGATAAATATGTTGGATGAAACAATGTACACTAGTATTATATTTGAAGATAGTGATAATATTCAAGATTTTGCTAAATAAATAGATTATAAGTGTTCTTGCAATAATGGAAAAATTAAAAATTATGTGATATGATAGATATTTTAATTTTTTGACTATAAAACCATTTTACCTTATCTACACCTATCTTATAGCATGTTATACCCCTACAATCTACACACTAAAATTTATTTTAAGATTAAAAAAGGAAGTAAGAGTCATCCTGACCTCTGGGTCAAGGAGGACTGAATGGAAGAAACAATGGAAACTAACAGAGGTATAAAACTGTTTTGTGTCTTGATGTGTATGGGGGTCCTGTAGCTATATTTCTTTTTTATACTCATTGAATAGTATACTTATGATTTGTGCTCATTATTATCTTTTGATTATACATGAATTAAAATTATAAGACCCTATATCCCTGAAAATGAAAATATTATTTTCTCAGAAAGTGTTAAGTAGAAACACATGCAGTTCAATTAATAAAATATATGCTGTGAGCCCCTAGAAATAGTCTAAGATTCTACTTAGAAAAGTCCCCCAGAGAGTCAAGGCAAAGAGGAAAGAACAGGAAGAGATGAACCTGCTAATGGAGGACACGAGGAATGAAACCATAGGAAGATAATCTGTGTCAAACCTTAAATTTGTATGGATGTGGATTCATCCAGTTATAACCTTACCATCGAGCTTGCCAAAGTTGAAAATGATGAAAAGAATAAACATAAATGTGGTCACTCAAAACTGGTAAGTGGAGATTTTAGCACAGGATTGACTTAAAAATCAATCAGCTATATTCATCCATTAAGTCATTCATTCAGTAAACATTTATGAAACCAGAGCAATATACTCAGACCTATCAAAAGCAAGAGACTGAGATTACTGGGTAATTTATTTAATTCTTCTAATAATATTGAGACAGGTATTGTAAGAATTAGGGGGAAAATGTCCAAAATGTAAGATTCTTTTAGTCTTTATTGGGTGCACTGATGAAAGAAATTGAGGGTTTTTTCCCCCCTTACCACTTTCACCTTCTGCTGGAAAACAGATTTGTCAAAAGTAGAAGCAGTCCTGGATCCCAGAGCTGATGAAGCTCACAAGCAAAGGGGTGAAGCACCTGAGTAAGGCAGTTCTAGAGACACAGTGATCAGTGTTTAACAGGCCCTGTCACAGTGGAGGTGTGGACAATTGTTATCTTCCAATTTAAAACTAGGTAACCAACTGAACCAGGTTCTGAGCGTCTCCCATACTGATAGGGCCAGGAAGGCTCTCAGAAGCACATGTGTCTGATAAAAGCAGAGGCTCTCATGAGTTGCACCAGAGAGCTGCAGCAGCACCAGACTGTTGCTCACTCTCCAAGGTATCCTGATGAAACCCTGCTTCCAGAGTCACCCTTGTCAGGGGTGTCCTGCATGGCCCTCTGTAGAACCAGCTTGAGGGTTCTTTGCTTCCACCGCCGCTGCCTAAAGGAGCCAACAAAGAAGTAAATCATGGGGTTGGCGCAGCTGTTAACACAGGACAGAACAACTGTAACCCAATAGGATTCACAAGGAATAGCATCATATCTCAAGATCCAGACTAAGAGGAACCAGTAGATCCCAAAGGGCAAGCCAAAGGAGAGGAAGACCAGAACCGTGAGCCCAATGGTCACACACAGCCTCGTCAGTGTCATCTTCTGTGAACCACAAAGGATCCTGACAATCAGGATTAGGCTGGACCCTGAGAGGGTGACAAATAAAACCATCAGCCAGGCGGAAGTGATGAAATCTAATGTTTTACACCAATAATTGTTATACTCTGTACCCAGGAAGCTACAGTACTTCCCTTCCGGGATGCTCAGCAACAGCGACAGGGCCCAAAGCAAGGCGCACATGACAGCTGGTGTGTGTCTCCAGCGGCGGCAGTGGTACCAAATGGGCCACAGGACAGACATGCAGCGCTCAATGCTCATGGCACTGAGCATGCTTAGCCCTGCAAGATAGGCAAAGGTTGACACAAACATGAAGAATGTGGGAACGGGGATGGAGTTGGAATAGAAGACGTTAATGATTTTCCACAGGGAGTCTATGATCTGGAAGCAGAGGAAGAGAAAGTCAGCTGCAGCCAGGTTGAGAATGTAAATGGAGAAGGCCTTCCTGCGGACACAGAAGCCCAGGATCCAGAGCACAACTGCGTTTCCTGCCACACCAATCGGGGCAATGATGAGGGACAGGAAAGCCAGGATAAGATTCTTCTTATAGCAGTTTGGAAGAATATATTGAAAATTGTCATTCATTGTTGTGGTTTCTGCCTCCCGGGTTGGCATGACTGTATCCATGCTCATGAATCCTCCACTGGTGCTCCTGGGAATACAAAAAAGATATGAACAACTGCTGCATGATCTCTGATTCTTAAGACTACCTTGCTATGTGGGAAGTATTGCCCCTGTGGCACAGGGAAGGGAAAGACAGGCCTGCAGAAGTTAAGTAATCCATCAAAGGCCAGGAAGTCATGGGACCTAATTTCAATCCCAGTTCTCACTGACTCTAAAGCCTGGGCCATCTGCAACCCCCTCTTTCTACTGACAGGGAATATTTAATGGCCCCAATGCACCCACTCAACATCCTAGACTGTATGGGACAGATACAGAATCCTGAGCCCAACTTTCTTTCTATCCCGGGACAGTAATTATGTATCAGGTGCAGGAAGCTGGAAGCCCCAAGCATGACACATGCCCACCCTCACTTACTGGGTGGGTCCATAGTACACTGAGAAAGGAAATTATAGTTAGACCTATAATGAGAATATGACCTATTTGTAGGATACTTGTGAAGACAGTCAGATCGCTTAGATTAAAATTGCTCCATGTCCGTTTCAAATTTTGGAAACACAAAAAGCAGAAGCTAAGCAGGATAGACAGTATTTTCCTTTTACCCATTGATGTGACCCCATTATCCCCAGCTCTGTTTGAGGATAACAGCAGATAGTCAAGATAGTCAAGAAATGTGACTATCTTGTGAATGACAACTGGATAAAAGAGAGAGGAGCCCAAGCTTAGTTGAAAATTTGGGATAAATATCACACAAGCATTTTTAAGTGAAATCAGTCACCAGAAAACATACATTTAGACACTGAAGAAAATGCATTGCTCATGATTCCTTCTGTGTAAATCTCTGATATGTTTCAAATAATTCCTTATACCTGCAGTGATGGTCCAAGGTGGTCACTGTCGTGTCTCCAACCCATGGAGAGTCAGAATATGTTTTTAATGATCACCTAAAAAAGTGTAAGCCTATAGTTCAAGGAGAGATTTCCAGGTTTAGTTGAACTTATTGCACTTGTGATGAGTAAAATGCAAGTTTGATAAAGCAGAAAGAGAATTGGCAATGGGGCTGGATAGAGAGTGTTGAGGCATGGAAATATCCAAGAGTGATTAGGAAGGGATTTCTGAGTTGTAAAGTATAAACTCATTTATTTTTACCCCAGGTGATTTTAAGTAGAAATTGTTTTACTTTTTAAAACCATTTAGTAGGGGTATTTTTTTATTTAAATGCTCATTAATGAAGGACTTTCGGTGGAAAGAGAGATGCTCATGCACAAATCAGTTGGGAAACAAGGAGGAACTCTCCGGAAGGTGAACATTAGCAACTGGTTGAGTGATTAACTCATTTTTATTTTCTAAGCAACTATCTGTAGTAAATACTCTTATTCCCATCTTATATGAGGAAATACAAAAAGAAGGAGGTTGAGAGATTTGCTTCAGGTCTCATCAGAAAAACTGATATCACCTGGATTTAAACCCATTGGTTTGTATCAGAATCTGCATCCTTCATCAGCCCCATATTGTCACTGCCACTGTGATGTGTTCATTACACACAGGGAAGCCATAGGGGATGAAGCATTTCACTTGCATCATTTGTAATTCATAATTCACTTAACTCTTTTATTAAAATGGAAGAGGTAAATTTTAGAGACAACAAGGAAGAAAAAACTAAGACATATGGAACAACAAGAGGTAATTTTACAACAATTCAGGGCCTAGAAGCCCATTTCTGTCTCTGAAAAGGACCAAGTCACTCTATCTAGACTGTCCTGAACTCAAACAAGACAAGAGGACCACAGTGGGCTGAGACAGAAACCTCTGGGCATCAAGGGTTGAATTCACCTCAGGTGCTCTTAGTTCCTGTTGCCTGGTGGGCCTGAGGAGGTGATGGAGGAAAATCACAGTCTCTGTTATCCCCCCCCCTCTTGAAATTTGGCCTTTTTATTTGTACATAGAAGACAGTTTTGGGCTCTATTTGTAAATGTATGGATTTTTTTCTCTTCTTCATCAAACGCAAATCTCTAAAAGCCTAGACCTAACTGGTATATGTTTTTGCTATTGTACCCTCAGCATCTAGCACATATGACTAAGAAACCATGTATTATTATATCCTCATTGATCACAGCAAGAACTTGAGATTTAGTGAACAACACAGATATCTCTATCACACAATGAGGGGCAGATGCAGTGCCCATCTGGTCTCTTGGAGCTCTGATAAAGGCCTTTATACCATTCTTGTCTCATCACACATTATATGAGGGACTTCCAAGAAAAATCCTTTTTTATCATGGAATGTGAAGAAAAATTAGGTGCTTAGAAACTGCCATTTGCTACATCGAGTCACTCTTCTTTTCTCTCATATAATAATTCTGAGAAATTTAAGACAGGAAAAGGACCCTAATTCTACCCTCTATTACCATTAATGGCACCAGTCAGATAAGACACGTCCATAGGAGATGGGAGGGTGGGAAGAAAGCAATTTTTGAGTTTCTAATTTACATCTTCTCTCTATGCTAAACTGTGAGTTGGAAGTGGCTGTATTACTCGACCTAAGGACATTGATCATTGGCCCTTTCCTCAAAGCACAGCTACAACTACAGCCACAACAGTCATCTCTCAATTCTGATAACTTCTATTTCCCATTGTTTTTTAAACATAGTGACATTGAATCTCTCTCCACTCCATACTATTTTCCATGGGGTGGAATTAGATTCACCAATCCATGTAACTTTTCCAAACTATGCACATATTGGTAAACTGTTCCTCAGTTAAACCCTTCCCATTCATTTTTAGATAATCTATTTTCTCTAGAGGATGTCAGAAATTCATACTGCATCAGAACTTTCCAACACAAGTAACATGAATGACTGGTTTATGCACAACATTTTAGCTTTGAAAAGCATACATCCACCTATATTGTCTCCTAAATTAGGAAAGCAGCAGATTTTTTATTCTAACAGTAAATTTGAATGGTTAGAGTTAAGCACAGGATGGGGAGAAGGTACAACAAAAAAAACAGCTGTCTTAGTTTGCAGCTTTCATAGCTCCCACACTCAACCTTGTCAGCCCTCAATGTTGCCAGGAGAGACTTGACAAAGTCCCCTGTCTGTTCCTGCTAGAACACATCAGGCCCCTTGTATCCTCCTTCTCAAGGTGAATTTATCTGGTTGTGGACTAATAGAAAAAAGACACAGCTTTGGGAATAAGTTCTTTTAAAAGTTTTACCTTTCTTCCATTCTTCTTATTGGAGGTGATAAGCTGATCCGTGGCAAAAGTAAGAGTCCCTGTGTTGGTTGTCACTACAGAACACTTCTCTGCTCTGGAGAGATGACTGTAGGGAATGAATTGAAGGCTGGTGCTTGAGAAAAGCTTATCAGAATTCAGATAGTCCTGTGATTTCCTGTACTAGGTCTTAAGACAAATGAGAGTGTAGGATTATTTCAGTGATATTCTTCATGAAATTATTCTTAATGTTTGGTCTGATTCTATTCCTACCTCTCAACCTTTACCTATATCCACCTCATTGGTTACTCTTCTCTGCAAGTGATTGTAGTTTTGCCGTGTCTTACTGAGAGATGATCAGGAATGCCAAGCAAAGTGAGCCCATGCCCGAAATCTAACTGAAAAATAACACTTTTATTTACTCATAATTTAAAGCCTTCATGATTTGATTCACACTTTTTTCTTATCATAGCAGTTACATGCAATTATTTGCAGTTTTTTTCAAATGACACAGATATGCACCAAATAAAAAGAAAACATCTTCTTGAGGTTTTCTCCAGAATCAACCACTGATTCAGTTTCTCTTCTAATTTTTTTTACTAGTTATGATTTCAGATTTGAGTAGTGAATATATTTTATTTTTGAATTACATGTGTTAAAAATAGGATCAATTGATGTATCACATGAAATGAGAACAATATAGGATATGGTAGATAATTTAAAAAATAAGATTGGGAATTTAAAATATCTATTATTTAAATGTTAATGGTTCTCATGAAAAATGAGAGCAATATTTAATGGAAGAGTGAAAGCAAGTAAAGAAAGATAGATACACTAAGTGAGAGAAAATGCTAGGAATAAAAACACTAACAGACATGAAAGTGATATTGAAGAATGTTCATCAGTAGACTGAACACAGGTTAGAAAAAAAAAAAGTAAATACAAAGAACTGAAACTACAGGCTCACTAAAATAAGGTAATTGAGACTTCCTAAGCTGAAAAGCTAGGAGGAAAAAAATGTGTGGAAATAGTACAAAAAGTTGTAACTTCTACATGATGGGAATACCAGAGGAGAACAGGAAAAAAAAAGAAAGGAACAGAAGAAATATTTCATATAATACTTGTTTATACTTTCCCCAAATTATTATCAGAAACCAAACCACAGATGCTGAAAACTATGAAAACAGAAAGCAGGATAAAAACAACAACAACACAGAAAACATAAAAGGAATGGAGAAAACACAAGAAAGAATAAATCTCATTAGAAGAGTAGCTAAGATAACGAGAATTATGATCAAATCAAACAATAGAAATAAAACAAAATGTCAATAAATAATACATACATTTCTATAATAGCATCAACTCTAAATAGTCTTTGTTCTCCATTTGGAAGATGAAGACTGGCAGATTGGGTTAATAAACAAGATCCAACTATATGTAACCTGCAAGAAATATACCAATTGGCACAGACTTCCACAGACCAAAAATGACAGGATGGAATATGATATCCATGAAAATGGAATCCAAAGACATCAGAAGTAGCAGATTTTGAGCCAATTTAATCAGAAGAGAGAAAGAATATGGTCACTAAATATGAGTAAAAGGAACAATTCAACAAGAAGAATAGCAATTCCAAATATGTATGATTTTAATATACCTCTCTCAGTGATACATATATTATCCAGACATAAAATCAACAAAGATACTGTAGAGTTAGAATAAACTATAATCAAATGACTTAACAGACATCTACAGAATATTTCATCCAACACTAGTTTTTCAACACACTTTCT